TAAGCCAGGAGATCCAATCAGCCCAGACTCTGTTCCCACTCCCATGGGGTCTGGAAGGGATAGGAGAGCAATGGGCCAGCCCAGGGAAGCTCCAAAAGCTCTGGCCTCCCTGCCCCCAGACACAAAATCACAGGGCTCCCAGAAGCTGGGCTGGAGCCCAGAGCCACAGCTTCTCTGTCCTGGCCAGATATGGTGGTGGCAGTGCCAGGGTGCTCAGACCACAGGCCAGCCCCTTGCAGCCCCCTGGCGCCTCCCAGCCCACAGCACATGCCTTGGAACCCAGCAGGCCCCTGCCAGCCTCACTGTCCCCCTACCATACCCACAGCCCTGGCCCCCTTCCTGCAACCTTCCTCCATTCCTTCCTTCATTCATTCACCATGTGAATCATTTAATTCCCAGCCAGGCCCCCAGAGGTCCCTGGGGCTCAGTGAATGTGCACCCCTGGAAGCTCCTGTTCTATCAAGAAAGTACTGTGACACCACTCCTGCTGCTAGGGCACCCTGCCACTCCCCCCACTCAGCTTCACTCACTGCAGAGCTGGGGAATCTGAAGTGCAGTGGGCTCAGCACTCGGAGAGGGGGTGGCAGGGTCAGGCCTGGTCACCTCAGCAGGGTGAGCCCCAACTCAGGTGGCACCAGTGGAATGGTGGCTTCTTAGACCCCTCTCCTCCTGAGATTCCAGACATTTCCCCTCTCCTGGGCCTGACCACAGACCCCAACACGAGCCCCTCAAATACACATGATCTTGTCCACAGCCCTTCACAGTTTCAAGCTCCTCCAGCCCCTCCCTGGGGCCCTCAGAGTAGCTCCTTATTCAGATGGCAGAGCCCAGCAAGTCAGTCAAGGAAGCGCCCTGCGCACGTCCCTTCCCCCCACTGGCAACACAGAGACTACCTGGGAAGTAAAGGAGAAAAAGATACAGCACCCAACTGGGAAGAGAGCAGCAGCAAATATGGGCATAATTTGGGGGTAGAGAGGCTCCAACGAGGTGCTCACACAGCAAGAAGTCATGGAGTTAAGACCGCAGCTCCTTCTATGAGCTTGCCTGGCTCAACCCAGCTGTACTACTTTGTGGCTCTGTGACTCTGAACAAGTCACTTAACTTCTCTGTGCTTCAGGTTTCTCTGTAAAACGGGGGTTCAGATAAGTTCTACTTCATTATACAATCTAGACTAAATACCAAAACACAAGAGTGCTTGGTGGGCGAGCTCTGGGTAGTAGCAGCTATTTGGATTACTAAGCGCTCAGAGGAGTGGAGCACCCTCCAAACCTTGCCCCAGCCCCTGCCAAGCTGGGGTGGAGACTTCAGGGACTCCGGACCGCTCCAGCCTTCAGAGCCCCACTGCTCAAGGTGGACCTGGTGGTGTTCCCTCCATGGCGAGGACAGAAGGGAGGCCCCAGGAGGGCAGCTTCTGGCCAGAGCTTCTCCCTGCTACTCACTCCTCCGCTAACTCGGGGCTCCCCAACCCCTCAAGGGTGCCATGTCCCAAAGGTGTCATGCCTCAGTCCGGACAGGAGCCATCTGTTTTCCAAATGCCACACTGCTTTTTCTCCAGCAGAGGCCTCCTCTCACCGCCAACGGGGGGCCCAAGAACGGCACTGAATCCCCACAGAGCAGCAGGCTCCAGGTCCAAATTCCAGCTCTGCCACGAGGACACTGTCACCTCCCCCGTAAGTCAAGTGTGTGTCTTCAGTTGACAGGAAGGAAGCCTGTGGGTCAGAGCAGGCTATACCTTGTTTATTGGCACATGGTGACCACTCCCAATGCTTAGCACAAAGGCGTCCTGCTCCAAGAAGCCCTCCCTGAGCCCTCCAGATTCCCTCTTGGAAGGGCCCTGTTCCCGGGGAGCTCAGGCTCCTCAAGGGACCCCTGCAGCAGATACTATGACTGTCCTTGTTCAGAAGAGGATCCTGAGACACGGAGAGAAGACCCCCTGCCCAAATCACACAGCAGTCATCCGTCCCCGCATCCCTGAAGCTCCAAACCCATGCAGGGTCCCTGCAGCCCCCCCCTGCCCCGCAGCTGCTGGGAGAGGATGCTGCTCACCCTAGGGCCCGGCCTGGAACATCCCAGGGGTCTGCACTGTTCATTTTTTGCAGTGAGGACCCAAGACTCAGAGTCAACCAGAGTAGCCAGGAGAAGCAAAATCAAGGGATCCTGGATGCCTGAAACAGGGGGGCTGGGGCACGGGCAGGAACCGCTCCTGGCTGATCCCCCACACATCTCATCCATCACCTGCCTTCCACTCCCTACCTCTGCCCCCTTCCCAACCACAGAACGACAGCTTGGTGAAAGAACAAGACAGCAACATCTGTTGAGCCTTTAGCATTTGTCAGGTACTGGGCTAAGCATTTTCCCTTGTCATTCTACCTACCCTGTTTCATACAGGTGGAAAACTAAAGGACGGAGACATTAAATAGCTTTTACAAGGTCACGTGGCCACAGATTACCAGACTCCGTTGCTGAAAGCATTCAAATAAGGGGTGCAAGGACTTTTTTTTTTTGGTACCAAGGATTGAACTCGGGACCTTGTGCTTGCGAGGCAGGCGGCAGAACCACTGACCTAAATCCCCGGTCCAAGCAAAGAAGACTAAGCAACACCTAAGATCTCTTCCAAACCTAGACTTTTAAAAGATTATGTTTCAAAAGCTAAAATTTCCTGGACCCCCCACACTCCAAGCCATTCTGGTCAGTGACATATATAGCAGCTGAAGTGGCCCTGAAAGCAGATGTCCCTCAGGAAGTCACCTGGTCTCTCAGGAGACAGGATTCCCCAAGGAGACACCAGGACAGACAGACAGACAGACACACACACACACACACACACACACACACACACACACACACACACTCTCAGCCCATCTGAAGCAGGAATGAGACCTGCCATCCCCACCTGGAGCCCCATTTTCTCAGGCTGGTGGGCACACCCAGGGTCACCCTGTCCCTCCCCTGCCCTGAGCCAGACACCACTCACCCCATAGGTCCTTAGAGGACCGAAACAGAGGCCACTCCTGGAGCACCTGGCCAGGTGCCCGCGTGGCCCGGGTCCCTGTTCGCTAAGCAGGCATCACCTCTCCTCTGCATGGCATCCCTGGCAACCAGCCCCACCCATCAACCCTTTGCCTCCCAGGCCACAAGCGCACAGAAAGCTGATGTCCTTCCTCACAGCCTGAGCCCTGGGAAGATGGGCAGTGTGGAGAGGGATTCGGTGCATCCCCTGCAGCCTCTCCTCTCCCCGAAGCAGAGCCCCTTCCCTGGGGTGGGAGAATTGCTTGATCTGCCTCTCAGCTTCAGGGTCACTCTGCCTTGCTCAGGCCTTACTGTGCACCAGGCCCCTAAATGCTCTGTTTAATTCCTTTCACTGCCTCATGTGTGTGTGGGGTGGGGGAGTAATTACTAGCCTTGCTTTATGGACAGGGGACAGTGGTTCAGCATGGGCAGTGACTTACTTGCTCAGGGCTGCACAGCTCTGATGCCCACAGGCCCTTGTTCACTCACCCCCTGAAACATTCCCTGTACATCTCCTGTAATCTGCTCCCTCTGAGGAGGGTGTCACTAGCCCCACTTCACAGATGGGCAACCCAGGAAAGAAGTGGGACCACATGCCCATGATCACACCAGGAATGGGCAGTGGTAGTCAGCAATTTGAACCCAAGACTGTGATTCCCAAGACTTTGGTTTTAAGGATTTCCAGAAAGCACTGAGAAAGTGAGCCCATCTGCTAGAATGGGTGGGGTCTCTATCCTTCCCAGGGACCCCTTCCCTCACCCCACCTGGAGGAGGAGAGGCATGAGGGTGGAACCACCAGGCTCGTTACACCCACACCCACACCCACACCCCCAGCTGAAGCCTGCCTCCTGGCCACTCAGGCTCTAAGAGGAAAGAGACAGGCAGGGGCAGGGTGGGCACCTGGCATTGCCTGACAGGCCCAGCTCCTTTTCAGCCTGGGGGATGACAGCACTGCTTGTGGGACCAACTGAGGAAGCTGGACCTAGAAATCCCAGCCCACCCATGCCAGCATCTGAACAGGGGCCCACAAGGAACTCATCAGGACTGGGTTCCTCAAAGGGGGGGCTGTGATTCCTCCACCCCCTTCCTCTCACTCCCCATAGCTGCTGTGGTCACCCAAAGGGATATTTAGGGGGTCGCCTCACACACAGCACCTCTACCTAAATACACGTGGTTTCCTCCAAGGTCCCTGCCCCACGCCCAGGGTAACTGTGCATTGAACGCACACGCCCACCGGAGGTCTTTCCCACTCACACCCCACACCCCTGCAAGCACACATGGCCATGGCCACAGTGCCCCAGCCCGGCGCAGGTACACGCCATGCACAATGGGTCGCCCTCACACAACCACTGGTAGGGGTATGGTGGCACCCACGCATTTGGTAGGTGCATTCTTCACACCCCACATCCCCCAGGTACAGGCCCTCACTGAAGTGGGAGCGCACACACACACAGGGTCACCCTCATTCTCCCCCTCAGGTCACCTTCACCAAATCACCCTCTGCCTCTCCATCGAGAGCCCCCACAAGCCCGCGTGTGGCTTGAGGGAAGCGACCCTGGGAGAAACCAGGTGCACACCCTCCCCAGGCAGGGCCCTGGGCCGCGGTGTCCGGAGAGTGGCCCCCGTGTGGGCACACCCAGCCACGTGTCAGCGCCACCCCCGCGCCCCTCGGGCCAAGCCAAGGACCCCCGCGCCGCCCCCAGGGAGCCGTTTCACCCGGGCGCGGAGATTGGGGGCGGTTCACGACCCATACCCCAGTTCCTTCCTTCTGGGGAGGGGGTCCCGATAGGGAGGGTCGACGAGCCCTGCAAAGGCGCCGCGGCGGGGTGGCCTCCCCACCAATGCCAGCGCGGGGGGCGGGGTGGGGATAGCGGGGGGGCGAGGCAGGGGTCCCGGGGGAGCGCAGTGAGGGTCGGGGGGCGAGCGAGTATCCCGGGGGGAGGGACGTGATCTCGAGGGACAAGGGGCCCGGGGGTCCCCGCCGCACTCACCCCCGCGGCGCGCCCGGCCAGCAGCAGCAGCAGCAGTGGCGGCAGCAGCAGCCCGCGGGCCCCGGGCGCGGCCACGGTCCCGGCCCCGGCGCCTGCCCCGTGGACGGCCCCAGCGCGGTGCGGCGGCCCCGGCTTCATGGCGGCGGCGGCGGCGGGGCCTTTGTTCCCGGCGCAGGCGGCTGCTCGGCGGCGGTGCGCGAAGCGCGGCGCGGCTCGGCTCGGCTCGGTTGCGCGGCCGGCTCCGCCTCGCTCAGTCTCCGCGCCCACAGCGGCCGCGCCCGCAGGAAGCGTGCGCCGCCGCCGCCGGCCCCAGCGGGAGGGGGCGGGACTGGGAGCGGGCAGGGGGCGGAGCTGGGAGGGAGAGGGGAGGAGCCTCGCGCCGCCCCGCCCCCGGGACCCCCGCCTGGCGCCTGGCCCCCAGCAGCGGCGAGCGGAAGTCGGGCCCCATGCACCTCCTCGGTCCCCCGGGCGCGCGCACAAGGCTGGGACACCACCCTGGGCCGGACCCCTTTCTGGGTGGGTCATGTGGGTATCACCATCAGGAGCCTCCTTCAGGGGCTTCCAATTGCCACCCTCACGCGCCCAGCCGGCCTGCGGAATGGGCCCAAAGTCGACCCAAGACTCCTTTCCAGTCTCTAGGACCGTAGAAGGGCTGCTGACCTCAGGCTGGGCCTGGCCCTCTCGTGGCCTCAGTTTCCCCAGGCAGCATGGGATGGACCCTGGCACTGTGGATCTGCAGTCGAACCACGGCAGGCCTGAAGTGTCCCGGTTCTGAGACTCAGATTCCCGGGTGGAGTGGAGACCACCCACTCTGGGTGTCTGGTAGCAGCTCCCAGCCCCTGCGCCTGGTTCTTCCTCCACCAGACACACTGTGCGTTGTGCCTGCTTATTGGCATCCCCACTAGCACCTAAGCTCCAGAAGGGCAGGCGTGGAGCTGCCACCGTTAGTCCCCAATGCCCCCAATGTCACCTGGGTCCCCGGCACTGGCCCATCCTGGCATGCAGTGGGTGCGGAACGAATGATGTGTCTCTTCTGGGCCTCAGCTCGCCCACACCCAGGTGTTTGGGGGGAAGTGGGGAGGAGTAAGCATTTATTAGACCCATGCTATCAGCCGAGGGCTTTCCTCGGTTATCTCAAGTCATCCATCAGGAACTCCATGGGGTCGGTGTTGCCAGTACCTACACTTCCTTGATGAAGAAGCTGAGGCTGGGACAGGAAAGGTTACCTGGTGATGATGGCGAGCTAGGTGTCTTTGCCCTTGGCCACTTTCCTCTCTCGTCCCGGTGACTCCACACCCAGCTCAACTGAAACGAGCAAAAGGATGAACGGTGTAGACAAGGCAAGGGACAGGCAAGAGGGGACCCGGCCTTGCACAGACAGCCATAGCCTGCAGGTGTCAGGGGCCCCTGATTGGGCCTATAGGGTCCTTCGGAGAAAGCCTAGGTGACAACAGTGAGCTTAGCTTAACATGGAGCTGTGTTGAAAGGGTTCCCTGAAGAGAGTCCAGGCCCCGAAGCGCTTGTAGGCCAGCCCCACTGCCCTCTGGCAGGCATCCTGCAGAAACAGGGGGACACTTTTCAACTCTGCTGTTTGAAAATCCCTAGGAATTCTGAGATCCCAACCTTTGGAAATCTCATTCCCAAATCTTTCAGAATTTGGACCTATGAGGGGGATTTAGCTCAGTGGCGCCATGCCTGCCTGGCAAGCTCAAGGTCCTGAGTTCGATTCCCAGTACATAAAGGAAAAAAAGAATTTGGACCCACGAGCATCTTGGACAGATGGTTGGGAGAGAAAAGTCAAGTAGGACCAGCAGACCTGGTTTTAGTTGAGGTAGTACAGCGGGAACCAAAGAGCTCTAACTCTGAGTTAGGCAAGTACCTGAGTTCAAATTCCACCTTTGCCATTTATATGCTGTGTTACATTAGCATAACTTTACCTCTCTGAGCCTGTTTCCCATCTATAATATGGAGATAGATAGCGCATGAGCCTGGCACCCTGTGGGTTTGAGAGAGGTGGCTGGGATGATACTTACAAAGGAAGGGACCCAGATGTGGGCATAAAGTTACCTTCCAGAGAAGCTGAGCAGCCCCAGGGGCACAGGCTGGCTCTGAGGAGCTCCCAGAGACACAACAGGGTTGGAGTGTGGTTATAAGGAACCAGACGTCAGTTGGTACACAGAAGGACTTTGGAACCGCTGGAGTCGGCCATAGCCGCCAGGGGCTTTTGTCATAGGTGGTGAGCACCCTGCCATGGGAAGTGAACAAGGCTCGGAGAGCCATTTAGCAGGGACACCATAAGGATGGTCTCCATGCACAAGGTAGGCAGTGAGCATGGCCCTTCTTCAAAGGTCAGAGACTTGGGAAGCACCAGGCCCTCTTCCCTGACATCCCAGGGACTGGGCGGGGGTGGAGAGTCTTTGGCCAGGCTAGGAGCGCCACCTGCTGCTCATCAGAGACACTGGTCGCAGCTAGAACAGTCAGGTCTGGACCAAGAGGGTCTCATCCAGCTCCCCACCTGCTCCGGGTCTTCCTGGGCACATGTGTCCACTCCCTACCCTCAAGCACAAGGTGCACCCACATGGTCACCCTCTGTGCCCTGTCAGTAGAGCCCCACTCCAGCATTCGACTCCCTGCCATGGCCACCCGCACAAGCATCTGGCACTGCCCTCTCAGGACAACTCTCCCAGCCCTCTTGGCCCTCAGAATGTGCCATCTCTAGCAGGAAGGGTTCCTGACTCCTTTCGGGTGTCACCCTGATCACACTCTCCCTGCACTCCCCACCATTCCTTCAGTCTGGCTTGCCCTCGGTACCCCTAGTGTCCACTTCGGTATCCCCAGCGGACAAAACCTGAAGAGCTCAATACAGCTGGCTAGTGCCAGGCACTGTCCTATACACACACATACATCATCCCCCTTTTCCAGATGAGCAATCAAGGCACAGGAAGTTAGGAGAGGATTCCAGCTCTCCACAGCTGCGAAGTAAGAAGCAAGATCTTGACCCAGGTGCCCCCTCCCTTCCTCTCTCATTAGTGCATGTTGTTTATTCAGAATACTGAGTTTTGTTTTGCCACATTCTTACATGCATGTGACATATTTTGATCATTTTTACCCTCCGCTGCCTCCCGTCCCTCCCCCCAATCTCCTTTCTCCTACTAGTCTCCCGTCTGCTTTCATGTTGTCTCTTTTTTTAATTTTTTATTTTTGACCTAGGCTTTTAATAGTTACACCATAGTGTAAGGACTAGAGATGTGCTAGGAAGTGTTTGATGACTGACTTAAAGAGTCACTTAGGGATCCACACACCAACCTGAGGACATATTCGGATTCAGCCTGGCACCTGCATAACTCCCACCTCCACACCTAGAGGCTCTGGCCACCCTAGCATGATCTTTGTCGTCTGCCCTTGGCCAGACCTCCTGGCTTTAATAAGGCAGCAGAGGGGTCATCAGAGGCCTCTGGAGCACCTCAGGGGGACCCAATGCACCTCATTCAGGGTTGTACTCCTGGCCAGCACCTGCCACCTGACTCCATGTGTCCCCAGGGGTTTGGTTGCACTGACCGGTTCTTCAGCACCCAGCATTCCCTTGTGATAGGAAGGGCCAGGGCCAGAGTTGTCCAGGCTTCCAACTCACGGGGTCCAGGCTGGGAGAAAATGCTCTCTTATGTTTCTCCCACAGGCCTAGGGCTTGGAGGCAACAAACAACAGTCCCCTCAGGGTTGCTGCTGTGGGAACAAATGAGCTAGCACTTCCAGGAGAGCCTGGCACACTTGAGCACTGTGTGTACCTGCTCGCTACTTCGTCTGAGGCTCAGTGAAGTCCAGTAACCTGCCCTGAGCACATGGCCAGCCAAGACATGAGCCAGGCAGTGTGAGGACAGAGCTCTAGCTTTTAGCCCTGTGCAGTGCTGTCCCCAAGGGCACAGGGGGACTTTGTGATCCTAAGGGGGCCTCCAAACACAAGTGCCTTCTTGGCTCAAGGCAATCACAGGTCCCTGCTTCCCCTTGCTCCACTCCCACCCCCACATCCTCTGCCACAGCTTTCTTTTGCTTTGAGCTAGAGTCAGGATGGGAGCCAGAGCCCAGGTTCACTTCTGGGAAAATCTGGGTGAGAGCAGCCCTAAGAGGTCAGTGACCCCCAAAACTCAGGAACCGAAACAGGGTCCTGGCAGGAGGGCTCCAGCTCTAAAGGGTCCACATGTCCTCTTGGGGGAAGGTGGAGAGGCTCCAAGGCCACCCAATGCCTCTGTGAGTGGCCATCCAGCCTGGGCAGCCGTTGCTAGGACCCGCAGAGCCATGCAGGGGCCTAGGGAGGGAGGGGTAGGAGGGCGCAGTCTCTACCAGTGGAGGAGCTCCAGCCCAGCCAAGGGGGCTGGTCAGAGTGTCACAGGGCCATGCTGAACCTCGGTGCTGGGCAGGGCAAGGCCAGCTTCATGAATCATCCTGTGTGCTGGGCAAGTCCGTTCACGGAGAGGGGCTGATGGCACCTCCAGGGCACATGGCCACCAGGCATGGGGCTAGGATTTGAACTCAGGCCTCTCCTAGGTCTGGTACTAACATGCTTCGAGCCCCAGATGTGACCCAAAGCCTCAGGGGCAGTGAGAGTGGGAGGGGCGAAAGCGAGGGAGATTTGAGGTGGGGCCCTCTGAGGCCCTGGGCCAGGCCTGGCTGTACTCATAAGAGGTCCCTGTAGGGACCATGGGGACCCAACCATGGGTCCCAGCCACCATTGTAGCTACAGAAGCTCCCATCTCTAGGTCAGGTCTGGCCAGGCTCCAGAGGAGGGGTCTTCTTGAGGGGAAGGCCTTCACCCCACCCAGGATTTCAAGCTGGGTGGCCAGAGAGCTGGGTGGGACCTGGCTGTGTGGAGTCTGAAGCTGACATGATGTGAGGAGCTCACAGATACAACCGCGGGGACAAGGTGAGGGCCCTGACACTTCGGCCACACCCATTTGCAGCACATTTGCCTCTGAGCGGAAGTCTGAGGCCAGCACAGCTGGAAGAGGCATGGGCAGGAAGAGCAATCTAGGAAGGCTTTGCGGTGGTGGTGGTGACATCTCCACAGGCCTGTGACAGGCAGGCCTTGGGGAAGCAGGTGCTCTGAAGTTGCTACCACCCAGCCTGAGGCTTCGTCCTGACATCGTGTGTGTGGATGAGCCTGAGCCGATTCCGGGAGCTGCGTCTCTATGACCTCGAGCGGACAGAGCAGCGTGACCTTGTCTTGGTCCCCACCTACCTGCTTCATCTTCCCATCCCACAATCAAGAGGAGTAAGGCCCCAAAAAGGGGGCAGACCGGTCCAAGGCCACAGAGTCTGCAGCAGGACCGGGACTAGAACCCGGGAGGCTTTCCCTTCCCACCCCGTCCCCCAGGCCCCTGCCCCGTGCTTTGCAGACATTCTTGGGGTCAGACTCTCCCGGCCTAGATTCTGGCTCACAGGTCCAAAGTCACAGGACCAGGGAAGGCTGGGGGAACCTAGGCCAGGAGCACCCAGTATGGGCAGGGACAGGAGGCGGAAGGAGGAGGACTGCACTGCCCCTGCTGCCATGCCACTAACAACCCCATTCCTGGGAAGAAACTGCACATTTGGAGTCATTTTCCTGAAAGAGGAAAAAAATTCCCTAAAAATACATCTTCCTTCTCGCCTCATCTTGGGGCTAAAGCAGCCCTGCTGTCAAGCTGAGGGAGAGCCTCCCCGCCACTCCCAGGCTGTGGCTCCTGGCCACGTGGTCACTTTCTCCAGGCCCAGCTGTCATTGAGACATTTAACACGTCTTAGGGTGGGATTTTCTTCTGAATTCTCAAGGTTCTGGGAGCCTGGTGCTCAACCCTTACAGTTCTTGAGCTGTGCTCTAGGCCTGCTGCAGATCTGGCACTGTAGAGGTGGGAGCTGGCATGGAAGGGCCAGAGGCAGGCAGTGAACAGCAAGTTGCATTCCAGAAGGGACAGTCCCTGCTCTGTTCCTTGTCTCACTTCTACGTCTGAGTGAGCATTTCTTTACCCTGCGGACGGCAAGGGGGGGAGGGATCTGGCAGCACCTCAGAGGGGAGGCCAGGAGTTGAATCCCAGGTCTACAACTTCCCAGGGTCTCCCCAGCAAGCCTGTCACTGATGGCTCCCAGAGCTCGAGGCAGGCAAACCAGGGGGCCCAGGACAGTGCCCAGCACAGGGAAAACCCATAGCCACAGCCAGCTGGCCACTATTTTTAAGCCACTCTTTGTCTGGAACTCAAGAGACAGAGGCTGAAGCACCCCTGGGGCTGGGACCTGTGGGAGGGGCAGCTAGGGTGGGAACGGACTCCCCAGAGCTCAGAGGGAGGGTAAGCCTGGCCCCAGACCAGGATGCCATGAGCTGGGGGCCTCCCAGTCTGCCTGGGCAGTCCTACTGCACGCAACTTGTGCTGTGTGTTAGTTGTATCTAGGTGCATAACAAGTCAGCCAAACACAGGGCTTAACCAACAGCACGTTTTTGTTGTCTGGTAAATTCTGTGGGTCAGGAAGACAGAAGCAGTCTGTGGGTGGATCTTTTCTGAGGCTACAGGTTCCTGAAGGCTGTACTTCCAGGGTGGCAGGTTATCCCCAATATGTTAATCTATGGGTCCAGCAGGATTCAGTTCCTCCCTATGCCTGCCTTGCCACCAGGCTGCGTCAGTGTTCCCAAGATACGGCCACTGGCTTCCCCTCAGAGGAGGCAAAAGTTGCAGTGTCTTTGTGAACTAGCCTGAGAAGTCACATGCGACCCTTTCACAGTATCTTATTTTCCCGCGTGGCCAGGGACTCCACAAGGTGAGAACATCAGCACCAGAGTCCATGAGGCCACCCCAGAGCTATACCTGGCAATGTGTCCTCTTCTGTGCTTCAAGGTGTCCCACCAACGCAGCAGGGGGAAATCAGAGGCAGGATAACACTAATAATGTGAGCCTCAACTCTTATGTGTGGTTGTGGGCCCAGCCCTGTAACAAGGACTTCCAATGTACCCTGTGCAGTAGAACTATAGTTATACCATTTCAGCTGGGGAAATAGAGGAATAGGACAGCACGTGATTTACAAAAGCCACAGAGGGTGAGGTGGAGCTGAGATTTGAAGCCGTTGGTCGCAGGAAGACTTGGGGGCTTGGGTTGAGAGCTTGGTGCCTAAGCCAGAGGTGTGGTACCAGCAGGAGGCACCCAGGCCTTGGGCTATACACTCAGAGGCTTGGGACTGCTTTCCTCAGCCCCACCGTTGACTCCATACCAGCCTGCAAGAGTATTAAATCAATATTCCAGGGCCCAGTTAGGGAAACTGAACCCTAGAAAAGTCAGGGATTTGCCAGGGTCACACAGGAAGTCAAAGAAAAAGCCTGGGCCTATGCCAGAGAGTTGACTACATCCTCCCACCTCCAACCAGAACAAGAGCCTAGCAGCCCTATGCACTGGGGACGCCTGGGGACAGGAAGGAGTGAAGAAAGGGGAAAGCAGGTTCAGGGCAGATGCCAGACCTCTCTGCTCCCTGAGTGGGACTCCTGACTGGTCCTGAGCCCCTCAAGCCAGGGGCAAGTTGATCTTGGACCACTGTGCCCTGGGGCCTCCACACTTGCTCTAGGCAGCAGCACCCTCGTGTGGCTACAACCAGTAACTACATAAAGTCACAACTTTCCTCTCAGAAT